AAGCATGATTCATAAGAGCCAAAAGACAGAAAAAGCCAAATGTTTATTGACAGATGAATGGATGAATAAAATGTGGCATGTACACAGTGGGATATTACTCAGCCCCCTTGAAAACGTGATGCTAAGTGGAAGGAGCCAGACACAAAAGGTCATATGTTGCATGATTCTACTAAGAAGAAGTATCTAGAATTGTCTCATTCACAGAGACAGAATTAAGATAGAGGCCCCTAGGGGGTGGGGAGAACGCAGGATTTAGTGTTTAATGGGTACGGAGTTTCTGTTTGGGATGATGGAAAAGTTTCATAGTGGTGATGGTCGTACAACATTGGGAAGGTACTTAATGCTTCTGAATTAGACACTTGAAAATGGTTAATGTGGTAAATTATATTATGTATATTTTACCACAAGTTTTAAAAAGCAAAAAAGAAAATCAAGTTTACATACTTTTTACAAGTCTTTATTCTGCGATGTTTAAACCACACTTCCTGTTTCCTGGTTTTGGGAGGGTCTTGTGGGTGGATGGCGGATGGGGGATGGGGATGGCCGAGTGACGGAGCTCCGGCCCCTTCCTGGGATCCCCGCTTTGCTGATCCACTGGTGTCTTGCAGTCTCAGGCTGGTCCAGATTTGCATGTGACTGGGATTTGAGGGGCACCTGTGCTCACCTAAGTCTGAGGCCGGAATAGGGGAGCGCTTGGTTGCCCTTTGTCCCTGGAATCATTGGTAGCGTGTGTGGGTGATTCTGTTAGTTTTTTACTTAAAATCCATGACCTGTTTCTTTGGCTTAATAGAACCTGGATTTTGCCTGGGGCTGTAGGATGCCTCCCAGGCAGTGGATCCTGAGTGATTAGGCCAGTCTTGACATTCTGTATCTCTGCTCCCCTTGCTTTCCTGGGATTACTAACTCCAGCCTGATGAAAAGGGATGACGGGGCTGGTTTTGTCTTGTCCTCTTTCTTTGTGCTCAGATTGTGGATGTGATGCCCAGAGTGGTGGCAGGGCTCTGAGACAGAGAGGGGAAGGTCAGGGGCTGGAGGCTCTGCCCGTGACGGAGGCCTTGAGCCAGCTGCCTGCCTCCAGACTAAGTGTGTGGGAAGAAGGCAGCTTTCTTTGTCTGCAAGGAGCCCGGCTCCCTGTCATTGGGGTTTCTGTTTCTTTTTTGTTTTCATGTATTTTTGAGGGACACACTCTCCACTTGTAGGCATGTGGGCATTGCTTGGTGGCTGGCGTGTTGCCTGTCCCCTGTAAAGGGGTGTCAGGTGACTGAAGAGCCCACTCTGTGTCACAGCATCAGGCTGTTTCTGCCTGCAGGTAACAGCAGGTCCCTGAGATGTCGGCAAAGCAGGGCACTTCTAACTCAGGTAACTGAGGAAGCTGGACGGTGAGCGGGGGTTAGGGGCTCACCACCCCCCACCTGCCTGTGTCTCTCAGCCCTGTTCTGTCTGGGTGGGTGTCTGTCCCGGCTGGGCGCACCCTACATGAGAGGGAGGAAAAGGGCCCCAGGTAGCCCCAGGTTTACACGACTGTTAGAGCTCCTACTTCTAGAGCAGTGGACGGCAGCCCCTTCCTTAGGGGGTCACACAGTAGGTATTTGGGGCTCTGTGACTAGGACTCTGTAGCTGGAAAGCAGCCACAGACCATACGCCTACAAATGGGCATGACTGTGGTCCGATGAAAGTTCACTTACAAGTAGTGGGCCAAGTTTGGCCCTTAGGCCATTGTCTGCTGACTTCAGTTCTAGAAGAGACAAGGTCTCTCATCTAGGGGTTCGTGCAGAAGTTGTGGGGAGAACCCGGGGTCCAGGGCTGGGACTAGGGTGAGGCCAGTGAGGCCCTCGCCGCAGCCGCAGAATTTACGGGGGCACTGAAAATTTAGCAATCGAGAGAAATGACATCTTCACATAATATTTGTAAAAAGTCAGAATTAATACAGAAGAAGAAATCCTGAGGCACAAGATACCACACAGGGCCGGGCCGGGGGTGGGGTGGTGGGCGAGGCCAGGTGGCTGTCCGTCTGACCTGGTCTGACCTGTCCGCCCCGGTGGGAGGAGAGCTTCCCAGGCGGATGGAATGCGGTTCTCCTGGGAAGGAGGGACGGGAGAAGGGGTGCTGCCTGCCTGCTCTGGTGCCTAAGCAGGAAGCACATTACACATATGCTTTATTTTCTCATTTCTTCCCCCTCGTCACAAACCTTAAAGGCAGTTTGTTAGCCCCATTTTCCAGATGAGGAAAATGAAGGACAGAATAAGTTGTCCAAGGTCACACGGTGCCTGAACTAGAATTTCAGTCAGGGTTTTTGTCCTTGTCTGAAGTGTCTCAGCATCTAATAAAGCCGAGCCTGTTAGAAACTTTCCAAGGGGCCCGTGGTGTTCGTCGTCCTCTGTTAAAGGTGTCCCCCCCCCCCCACCCCCCAGGAGCTCGCTGCAGCGCCCCCTTCATGGCTCTTGTCCATGTGGGGAGATGGCTTTGAGGCATTGGGAGAACCAGAAGCCCTCACCCGCTTTTGGAATTAGTCCCGGGTCTCCGGCAATAAGGGATTGGTGTTTATCCCCAAATTAAATTACAGACCCCCCAAGCGTTAAGTGGCAGGCGAGGTGAGGTGCACTTGCAATAGACCGCGCTAATGCTGGCGGGGCGGGTGGAGCCCTGCTGGGATAATTCTTGTCATCGCTGGCATCGCTTTGGCAGGCTTTAGCAGGATTCCGTAGCACTGAGTGATTTATGAAATTGAAAGGTGAAAACGCACGTTCAGGTGTGGCCTGCGCATTCACGGTCAGAGCGAGGCCACAGCAGTTCTCGAGAAAGACCGGATGCGGGTGAGAATCACCTGACTTGAGTCATGCCAGAGAGGCAGGCAGATGGTTGTTTGGCACATTTCAAAACCAGTGATTGGCCTGCCCCACCTAGGCTGTCGCGGTACCCCCTCCCCCACTGGCCTGGTTTCTGAGGGAGGATTTGAGCGGGGAAAAAAGGCCGTTATGCCTATGTGTGGTTTGGGGCTGATCCCGTGGGGTGGGGAAGGGGATTCGTGTGGCATTCAGGGATTGAGACAGAAGTGAGGCCCAGGTGAGCGGCTCCATTGGTTTTCCCAGTCATTCCCGAGATGTTTATTCCATCTCATCCCGGAGGTGAGCCTGATCCACAGACTTCCTTACATACGCGTGTAGTTGCTGTTACACAATTGCTCTCGTTTGAGAAGGTAGTCGTTTAGCAAACGGTGGTGGTCAGCATGGCCTGGGTGTCGTGTTCAGGCCCTGCTTCCCTTTTCTCCAGTCTCCCCCATGCCCCTGGGTGATTCTGCACTTATTTGAAGGGAGAGGGATCTGAAGCTTAGCATGGCTGACTGAGCCATCCAGGGTCATTCTATGCGTTGATCTCTTCACTGTTGTCTGGCCTGCTAGACTGGAAGCTTGTTTGGGATGAATCCTTGTTGTCTACTTGGTAGCTCACGGCCTTGCCCGGCCCATTAAGCAGTCCATGGGTGCCAGGGAGGCTCACTTGATTAATGGTCTGACTTCTGATTACGGCTCAAGTCATGATCTCCTAGTTCGTGAGTTTGAGCCCAGTGTTGGGCTCTGTGCTGGCATGCTGAACCTGCTTGGAATTCTCTCTCCCTCTCTGCCCTTCCTCTGCTCGTGCTCACTCGTGCATGTACTCTCTCTCTTTCTCTCTCTCAAAATAAATAAACTTTAAACAATTTTTAAAAAATGCAGTCTAGGGGCACCTTGGGTGCTCATTTGGTTAGAGTGTCTGACTCTTGATTTTGGATCAGGTCATGATCTCACAGTTTGTGAGGTTGGGGCCTGTGTTGGGCCCCTTCCTGACAGCATGGAGCCTGCTTGGGATTCTCTCCCTCTCTGCAACTCCCCTGTGTTCTCATTCTCTCAAAATAACTAAGTAAAAGAAAGCTTAAAAATGAAGGCAATCCAAGCTGGCTGAGCTGAAGTGAATTATTGAAGCGAGCGTACTAACTTGTTTAGTTATAGATACAGTTGTTTATGTAGATCCAGTTTATGGAGATGTGTGTATTTGCATTCTTTTTTTTTTTTTTTAACGTTTTATTTATTTCTGAGAGAGAGAGAGAGACAGACAGCGTGAGCAAGGGAGGGCCAGAGAGAGGGAGACACAGAACCTGAAACAGGCTCCAGGCTCTGAGCTGTCAGCACAGAGCCCAACACGGGGCTCAAACCCACGAACCATGAGATCATGACCTGAGCTGAAGTCAGACGCTCAACCGACTGAGCCACCCAGGCACCCCACTGGAATTAAAATTATGAAAAAAGTCTGTTGTGTGTGGATGAAAAAGGCAGGATGTGAGGAGATACAATAACTCTTTTGTGGATAAAAACAAACTTTCTTAGCTTTCCCTTAAAGCCTTAAATCTGTTCCTCTCTTAGTCATATGAAAATCTTTGCTAAGGAACTAGAAATGAGGACAGTTATGTACAAGAATGTTCAAAGCAGTTGAAGTAGGAATAACTGGCAATATATCATGTTTCCAGCAGAAGAGAAATAGTTCAATTATGTTTAACTGGGAAGCTATCAAATATCAGGTCTTCAAAGATCTTTAGAATTTTTTTCAACGTTTCTTTGTTTTTGAGAGACAGGGAGAGACAGAGCATGAGCAGGGGAGGGGCAGAGAGAAAGGGAGACACAGAATCCGAAGCAGGCTCCAGGCTCTGAGCTGTCAGCACAGAGCCCTATGCCGGGCTGGAACCCATGAACTGTGAGATCATGACCTGAGCTGAAGTCAGATGCTTAACCAACTGAGCCACACAGGTGCCCCAAATGTCTTCAAAGATCTTTAAATGTTACAGGAAAATGTTTGTGATCCAAACAAGTAACGAAACAAACCAGGATTCAAAATTGCACTCTTTGCTGCCTTGCTTTTTCTGTGCTAAGCAAGTAACTCTTTTGCACTCCTCAGAAATGCTTGGGGAATGGCACTCTGTAATGACGCCCGTCCCAGGCCGAGTGCCACCGTGCCTGTCCCTCTCTCTGCAGAGCCGGTGTTCTGGTTCTACGTGAAGGAGGTCCTCAGCAAGCACGAGCTGCCACGCTTCTACTCCCTGCGCCATATCGCCTCGGACGTGGGCCGCGGCCGGGCCTGGTTGCGCTGTGCCCTCAATGAACACTCCCTGGAGCGGTATCTGCACATGCTCCTGGCAGACCGCAACAGGCTCAGGTATGGGGGTGGGCACCTGGGGGAGGGGTAGCCGCCTGCACAGGCTCCTGGCCGACCGCAGCAGGCTCAGGTACTGGGGTGGGCATCTGGGGAGGGTAGCCGAGCACTTGGAATTGCAGAATCTGACTTCCCGGGTTTGCATCCCTGGCTCCACATCCGGGTGGGCGGGTTCCCCTCTTATAGTCCCTTTTGATTTAGCTGTGCTGTGGGCACAGTTGGTCAGAGAATAAGTGATAGAACGAAAGCTCATAAAGGGCTCAGCGTGGCACCAGCAGACAGCACGTGCTCCGTAAGTGTTTATTGTCACTTAGGGGCGGGGGCAGAGAGAGCTTCATCCCAGGACACAGCCTGCTCTTCCTGTGGTGGTTTAATCTGGGCTTCTTTCAGATCCAGAATTTCTTTCTCATTAGATACTGGGTGTTGGGTGCTCAGTTTCCTTTTTTGCTGGGTTCTTTAGAATTCCTTCTGTGGGTTTTTTTTTTTTTTTTTTTTTTGAGGTTGATCAATCCCAAACTAACTGAAAGAAATAGGGAAGTTTTGTGTTGGGGACAGAAGTCGATTGTTATCTAAAGAATGCCCATTTCATGATTTTTTTTCTTAATCGTAGACATAAAGCTCACTCCACCAGTTAGTAAAGGTCAGTTTATGCTGCCAAAACAAATATCACAAACTCCTTGGTGGCTTGAGATGGCCCCGTTTACTTCCCCCTCCTACTGCGTGTCTGTCGTGGATGAGTGGGGTTTCCCATTTCAGGGCCCCAGCCTGACACAGGCTCCGTCTTGACATCGCTTCCGTGGTTGCCAGGTAGGAAGAAGGGATGTGGTTGAACTGAGCACAGGCTCTTAAAGCTTCTGCCCAGAGAGAGCCTTCATTTGCATTCGCATTTTATTGGCCAGCAAGTCACATGGCCACAGCCATGCTCGACAAGGTGGGGGTGCCTGGCTGTCACACAGCAGTGGGGAGGGGGCACTGAATATGAGTTAACCATAGTACGGTCAGCCACGTTCCTTTCTAAGCCATGTGACAGTGCTGACATTGTCCTGTACTCATGAGGTTGATGATATCTCTGTGTCAGTGGCTGCTTTATCACCTGAGAATGGTGGACGAGACATGTCATTTTGTGTTCCCCGATGATACAAAGGGACGGTGATCCATCCTCTCTTGGTTCCTTGAATAGCTCCCATATTGCAGTGCCCAGATCCTCAATAGTGAGGATTGGATTTCAGTGAATTAATTTCATTTAACTCAGTAAGCTGGCATTTCCTCAGTGCCGCGATGCACGCCCAGATTTTATCTGCTGCCACACGCTCCCTGGCTTGCCTCCTCTTCTGTTTTTTTTTTTTTTTTTTGAGCCTCTTGTGGTCAGCTCCCTACCAGCAGTTTATTATGTGTTCTGGGATTACACAATCAGGCTCTTACCAATACTTCTGAAGTTCTCCCGGTGATGATGCTCACGATGCCTTGTCTGGCTGGACGCTCAGACACGGGTCTGAGATGGGAGGCGTGGGGGCTGGGGCTGCTGTGCCGGATGGCACCGTGTGTTGCTCTACTCTGAGCCGGGCGGCTGTGAACGTGTGCGTGCACCCCCACCCCAAGTGTAAAGTGGTTTTAATTGAGGAGAACACACTTCTGTTTCTTACATTTCCAGGAAGCTCCTTCCAGCAGATCATTTGCAGGTAGTTCAAGGTTGTCCCACTCCATTTCAAGGTCGACTGTAACAATGAACAGCCGAAGTGAATCCAGCTGTTAATCACGGTTGAACCTAGCTGAATCACTAGCCACTTACCTGGCTAGGTGTGGGTGAACCTAGCTGAATCACTAGCCACTTACCTGGCTAGGTGTGGGTGAACCTAGCTGAATCACTAGCCACTTACCTGGCTAGGTGTGGGGAAACCAAATTCATTTACACGCATAGGACCTGGCTTAGACTTTTAAAGAGTCATGGTCTTGGGAATTGGGGTGTAGCTGCCATGCCAGCTCACGCATGTCTGCCCTTCCGCTCACGTTCTGCTGGGTGAGTGTGTTGAAAGTGGGCATTTCTTTTTTTCTGTCAGTTGTCCTCAGTCACTTTAGTGTCCCGTCTCCCGTGGAACTGCATGTCCCTCATCCACTGATGGTGCTTCAGCAATTTGACCTTTGAGGCCATTAGTTGAGAGTTCTCCGACCTGGCTGCGAGTCAGGGACTGAGGATATCGGCTTGCTGTGGTTTAGCAGGGGTTGGATAAAGAGGCAGGGCATTGGGCTGGGAGACCTTCCGAGCCTTGCCTGCACCATTATTGCTGATGAACTTGGACAAACCCTGTAGGCCTTGCTGACCTCTTGCTACTGCTGTTTAGATTCATGGGGTCCTTTTAGCTTCCTAGCTCTTTCCAGGGACAACTTGGGCTTTTGGTGCTGCGGCCCAAGCAAGTATTATATACAAATGCTCTGGTTGATGGAGCTGTGGGATTCTAGAATTTCTTTCTGAAGTTGTTTCTTGCGGTAGTTTGGTCAGGGGGCCCAGGGAACCAGCTTGGAATTCCTGGGTGTCTTAGAGACATTCCATGAGTGAACGCCACCCCTCTGTTCATCCCCTCTCCTTTGCTTCTTGGTGGAAACACCACGTTTACATTGCCCGTTTCAGTGCGCTAGCGCTCGGGGAGCCAATGAGGAAGTTGTAGGATATATACATTCAGTCCTTTATAAGCAGCAGCTTCAGCCTAACAGAGACCTTGGATTTCCACTCCGGGATAACCAGGCATGGGTTTTCCAGAGAGCCATGTAAGGGAATTATCTGGCTGATGGAGGCAGAGAACTGCTGTTCAGAGCTTTTCCCCTTTCTCTTTCAATTCGCAGCACTTTTTATGAAGACTGGTCTTTTGTGATGGATGAAGAAAGGGCTAGCATGCTTCCTACCATGGCAGCTGGTAAGCCTGGGCCAGGCCAGGACTGATGGGTCCTTGAAGTGTGGGGAGCAGAGTCGGCTACCTGGGAGGGAGTTTATCACTCTAGGGAATGCCATGATTTCCCCTGTCCCTCGACTTAATGAGTCACTCCCCACCGTCCTTGCTTTGGTGGAGTTGATTACAGAGTCCGTTTGTCTTGAACTGAATACCCTGGCAGGAAAAGACTGGGGCTGGGGGCTTTGGCTGTGGCTTTGCAAGAGTAATACAAAGACCTGGAGATTTAGAAGCAGGAGACCTGCCTTTGAAGCCTGGCTCTACCCCTTCCTGGCTGGTGGCCTGGGGCAGGTCCTGTGAGCTCTGTTACCCTTACTGCCCTCCCCTGCAAGGCATGGGTCGTGATGGCACTGGGATTTCCTGCATGGGGCTGTGAGAGAATCATGTGTGATGAAGAATAATGGACATGATTTATCAACGTGAGATCACTGCAGATCGATGTTAGTTGGTGAATAGTTAGATTATCATTTGACTCTCAGTCAAAGGGTGAGCCCAACGGAAGTGGGTAACTTGCTTCTTTCTTTCAAATCCTTCCCTGCCTCATTTTTTTCTTCTTTCTTTCCCGAAGGCTTACACTAAACCTCACATATTGAGAATTATGTTAGTCTTGCCCATTGATGAGGAAAGTCAGGCTCTGACTGTGAATTCCTATGTAGGCCGGTGCAAGCTTTTGCCTAAAGTAATAAAAGTAATGATATTGGTGCACAGTAAAAATTTTTTTTAACATTTTATTTATTTCTGAGAGAGAGAGAGAGGCAGTGTGAGCAGAGGAGGGTCAGAGAGAGAGGGAGACACAGAATCCGAAACAGCCTCCAGGCTCTGAGCTGGCAGTCAGCACAGAGCCCGACACGGGGCCCGAATCCATGAACCGTGAGATCATGACCTGAACCAAAGTCGGATGCTCAACCGGCTGAGCCACCCAGGCGCCCCTTAGTGCACATTTTTGATTGTTTGCTGAACTGAGCCTTTTTGGTAGGTGGGTGATTGTCTTCAATGCCCTGTGAAAGACATAATGTTGTCCCCATTTTACAGATAAGGAAACTGAAGCTCAGCTTGTGCGTGGCTTGACCAAGGTCTCCTAGAATGTGGTCATATTGGGATTCACCCCAGACCCTCTGACCCCAGGCCTTACGTCTTAACTTCCCCAGGGTTGACCTCTTTCTTGTCTTCCACAGATAGGGAGAGGGTTTGGAAAGACTCACCTCCTACTATAGCTGGTGCCTTCTGACCCCATTTTGAGGGAGGTTTTTTTAATCCCTATGTGCGATTAGCTGTCCCCTTGTGTGAGCCCTGCTGTGCGCCACGTGTTTATCATGGTGGAGGTGGGACCTTCCCAGGGCAGACACTCCTGACTTTTCCTTTTTTTGGGCAGGTCTCAACTCTATCCTCTTCGCAATCAACATTGACAACAAGGATTTAAATGGGCAGAGCAAGTTTGCTCCTACCGTCTCGGACCTTTTGAAAGAGTCCACGCAGAACGTGACCTCCTTGCTGAAGGAGTCCACGCAGGGCGTGAGTAGCCTTTTCAGGGAGATCACAGCGTCCTCTGCCGTCTCCATCCTCATCAAGCCCGAGCAGGACACAGAGCCCCTGCCTGTCGTGTCTAAGCACGTCGGCACCGGTGAGTGACAAGGGGCATGTGTGGTGGACCCAGAGGGGTCGGGAAAAGGACGACTGGCTGTGGCCAAGAGGGATGCACCTCGTTGTCTGAAAGTGCCACGGGGAATGAAGTCTGTGTTCTTGCGTTTTTGGTTCCCATTTGTGTTTATTTTTCTTCTTCTTACCCACTCCAGGAGGGGTGGAGAGCCTCACTGAGCTGTGAAGGTGATAGTGTGGGCGAGTGGACAGCTCACTGAGAGCACACTGAATGTGAGGGTGTGGGGGTCATGGGAAGCCAGGGGGGCTGGATCTCTGTGCATTTATTCCTTCATTCACTCACGTGTTCATTCGCTGCATTCTGTGTGCTCGGCGGTGAACTAGGAAGATTCCTGGCATTCAGCCTGCGGTCTCTTTTGGGATCGGTAGGGGTACACATTTGATGACAAATTACACAAATAAGTGATTATCCATTTGATAAATGAGATGAAAGCCAAGCATGGGGTGCTATGGAGAATGTGTACTCTTGGGGTGGGGGGTGACATTCAGGTGGAGGCCAAGGGGAAGGGAAGAGTTCCTCAGTTTTGACCACAGGCTGTGGGGAGGCAAAAGTTAATTTAGTTGAGATCAATTTTATGAGGAGTTTGTGATATGCCTTGAGCCTTCTGGGACATCCAGAATGTCGTAGCAAAACTGGAAATTTTGGGTTTAGGTATGTAGATCTAGTATTCTGCAAATCTCTTAAACAAAGCAGTAATCATGTTCTTCTCTTTGGAATTATTAACGATGGTGAAGATCGAGAGTCTCGTGGGGTCTTTGGTATACACTGGCTTTATCTGTCTGGCCCTCCCTTCTCCAGCAGAGATGCCCGGCACGTGACACAGGAAATAGAACTGCTGAGGGCTTTGCGAAACACATGCGCTGGAATTTGTATACCTCAAGGAGCTTTCTTTCCATCCATTTTGGGGACTCTGCTTTTGACACTGCCTCAGAGTTTGATACACTGGTGAAGCACCCCCATGTCACTCTTTGGTTTAGATGGAATGGAGTGTCTGATCGGCCCGAAGGGTCTCACACCCAAGTTTGACTGATGGAGGCCGGCTCCAGCCAGTCCAGGGGTCCCTGAAAGATTGACGGTGTCGGCGAGAGAGAGAGTGAGAGAGCCTCGAGATTCTTTCTGATCACCAGGCAGGCATCTCCGCCCTGTCGGTTTTGGTGTCTTTATTTAAAGGTTCAACAACAACATGAGATCAGAAAAAGGAATTTTTACAATGGGAAGCTCTTTGTGATAAGATACTTTGAAAAGTGTACAAGAACAAGTTTTTTGGAAATATTCTTGCAGAATTACCCCAATCATAGTGAGGTTGAGTAAATCTTACAACTAAGGAAATAATAGGATGTTCTTAGTGAAAAACAGGATGACATACATATTTGTTCTAAGTTAATAATGCTAGGATTAGGACACTGTTTAAGTTGTATATAGATAGGCTAGGAGTCATTCTGTCTTGCTCTTAAGAGGATGAATGTTTTTGAACTGGTTAATAAGTTGTTTGTGGAAACCTTTTTGGCTTTATGCTGAATGTGTAAACACCATGGAGGCCCTGAATGTGTCAGCCTTTGTTTTTGTGTTATGTTTTAGCTACTCTTGTCTTTCCTCATCCCCAATAAAGGAGGCTGTTTGTGGAAAGTAGGCCTTAGGGACGGGACTGCCATACATCACCAGTTAGAAAAGGTATAAGTAATAACTTAAGTTCTGCCCTTATCTATTCCTTAACTCTAAATTAGGCTCTTTGTCTTGGGGTCAGGCTCAATTGTCTTTGATCTGCAAGGCCCATAGGAAGAGGCTTTTGACAATCATCCACATTGCTTTCATCTAAAATCTCTTTTGAAAAGGCAGGAATATGCTTTTCCTTATGAGGTATCTGGGTTCGGAATATCGGTCTGATATGGAATATTGTGAAGCCTGGTCAATACCAGCAGGCTCATTTCCAACATGAGCCAGTAGTAGCACAAAGAGATACCAGTTTTCGTTTCTCATGGCAGGAGCTGTGCAAACACTGCCATTTCCTTGCTGTGACTGCCATCCAGAGAGGCCGGTGCGGCTCCCGGCATCCGACGATTAAGATGGGTGAACAAACTGGTTCCCATCAGTACTGGTCACCAAGACAGCCTTGGTTTCTGTTTCTGTTAGTCTTTGCTGTGTAACAAACGGTTCCAAAATGTAGTGGCTTGAAACATCCACAGTATTATTTTTTTGATGACTGTGTGTTGGCAGGATAGTTCTGCTGGTGTCACCGGGGCTTCCTCATGGGGTTGTCCTGGGCTGGTGGTTGAGCCGGAAGATCTATGATGGACTCGCTCATGTGCTTGGGAATATTGCTCATTGTGATTTGGGGCTGCTCTTCTGCACGTGGGCTCCTGTGCTCTAATAAGCTAGCCTGGCTTCCTTCCCCAGTAGTTTCAGGGCAGCATTCCTTGGGGGTGCAGCACCTCCTGATGGCTGGGCTCCGGAGCTCAATGTTATTTCTGCTGCATGCTGTCATTAAAATGCAAGCCCTGAGCCAGCCATCGCTCGAGGGGCTGGTTAAATAGACACCACCCTCTGTGGGAGAAGCAGCCAAGTCCCACTGTAAAAGGGACAATTGACCACACCCCTGACTGGTGTTCTTGGTCTCTTCAGTCAGTCAGGAGAGTATTTTCTTTTTTTTAAACATTTATTCATTTTTTTTTGAGAGAGAGAGAGTGCAAGTGGGGGAGGGGCTGGGGGGGGGGGACACAGAATCCAAAGCAGGCTCCAGGCTCTCTCTGAGCTGTCAGCAAAGAGCCTGATGTGGGGCTCGAACCCACGAGCAGTGAGATCATGACCTGAGCTGAAGTCAGACAGTTAACTGACTGAGCCACCCAGGCACCCTAGGAGAGTGTTTTCCAAAGCGAAAAATCATCTCAGGAATGGGAGCATCCTCTGAATCAAAGTGTTCAGAAGTGCTGTTTGTTTAAAATCAGAAGTGTAGTCCCACATCCATGTTGCTCAGTCTCCTGTAGACAGGTTTGTTTTCTCTCTCAAGGATTAAAAAAAATCTGATTTCATCTTAAGTGCATTTTTCAGTTGATGAGTCAAGGAATTTCATAGTGCAGAGGCCAAATGGCTCAATTGTGGCTTTATCTTGCCTCCTTCTTCTGACACCATATCTTCTTTTACCAGATGCCAAATGTAAAAAGGAGCGGAAGAAGAAGAAGAAGGTGACCAACATCATCTCATTTGACGACGAGGAAGAGGAGCAGAACCCTGGTGATGTTTTCAAGAAGATTCCCGGCGCCGGGGAGAGTTCTGAGGAGAACTCTGACCGCTCCTCTGTCAACATCATGTCAGCCTTTGAAAGCCCCTTCGGGCCAAATTCCAATGGAAGTCAGAGCAGCAACTCATGGAAAATTGATTCTCTGTCTTTGAACGGGGAGTTTGGGTACCAGAAGCTCGATGTGAAAAGCATCGATGACGAAGATGTGGATGACAACGAGGATGATGTGTACGGAGGGAACGTGTCTGGAAGGAAGTGCCTGGGCCACTCGGGGTCACCCGGGAAGTAAGTTCCATGCGGAGCCTTTAGCGAAGGGTTGGCACACTAATGGCCTTCTCTTCCTGCAGCATTGGATGAAAGGAGTGTGCACACCATTTATAGGAGGTATCATTTGCTTTTCTGATCTTGAGTTAGAGGAACGAGCATTGGCTTCTTGTCCTCCTGGGGATGAACACGAGGGAAGGGAGTGTATTTTTGAAGGAACTTCTTGTAAAGTTAGTGTCAAGATGGATGCCTTGACATTCTTGCTTTAGTTTCGTGTCTTTCATTTTATTTGCTTGAATATTTATCGCATCTCTAACTTGTTCCTCTCACAGGAAACTCAGGAGAGAGGCAGGGTTTTTCTGGAGAACGGTCGGCAGCTGGCAGTTTCCGTGTTTATCTACAGGGGTGTGAACAGCAGGAATTTGCTTGTACTTGCTGCTTGAACAGTGGGCTTGCACAGATGGAAGGGCCCTGATGTGCATGAAGGCAGATAGCACAAAAGCATAGTTCCGAGCATGGATCTTGGAATCGACACTGCCTGGGTCCTCATTTACTGGCTGTGTGGCTTAGCCTGGACACATTTACCTCCCTGAGCCTCAGGCCTCATCTGAGACCTGAGAGCAAAACAGCACCTGCTTTTCGGAGTCATTGTGTTAACGGGCCACGTGCGCATGGGGCCTTTGGCCACAAGAAGGAACACAGGTCAGCTGCTGCCACTCTAACTGCTCAGTAGTAATTCCTGCGCTTGGTCTTACTCTGAGCGTCGGATTCACTGGCTGTCCCTTAACGTGAGCTCTTGAGTGCATAGTGCCATTGTCTCGCTGGCTTCAAACCCAGCCCATGAGAGCATAACATGGAGATGCCGACACCTCGTGGTGGGATTAGGGGCACAGTGTCTCTGGCTCTAAGCTTCTCATGTCCTGTGAGTTGTGATAGGAGCCTTTTTCTGTCTCACGACACAGTGCCTGTTTCTGACTTCTACTCTTCCCCTCATCCACACAAGTACCCGTATGAGCAGCGCTGCCCTCTTGATCATCTGCGCCGGCTGGGTGTGGCGGGCTCCTTGTGTACCTGCCCTGGGAGGCTGGTGGATGTCACGTTCACTCGGTGGATGAAGGCACACAGCAGAGATGTGTCTGAGCAGCGGGCAGGGCTGGCACTAAGCTTAGTTAGGTTACGCTGCACTCCCAGGCTTTTAAGGTCAAATATTTTCCATGTTTCTACACAATTTAGGAATACCGCTTGGTTGACAGTCTGTCGGATCGACTTGTCATGATTTGCTAACGCTTCTTTCCCCCGATGTTCATTTATTGAGGTTGTTGGCTTTTGATGATGATGTCATTGTTTTTGCTTTTTTGTGATCAGCCATTCTGAAATGAACGTTTTCACCCACGAGGCTTTTCTCTACTCCTGGAGCGTTTGTTAGGGTAGGTCCCCTGGCGTGTTGCTCTTGCTCAGAGCGATGAGCATTTCTTGCCTGGGATCCACGTGTTGTGACCTGCTCTAGGAGTCCGGGTCTCCAGGGAAGCAGAACCCATAAGGGCGTGTGCGCATCTGCACTGCTTGTCCTCACTTCCGCTTGCCATGGTTTCTCTTCTATGGTTTTAGTTCCCTGGAGCCAGTCACGGTCCTGAAGGAGATGCTCCTCTTTCTCACAGATCATCACGAGGTCAGTAGTGGCCTCGAGCTACGTCATGGTGCCCGTGTCATTCGCCCATTCATCGCATTGATACCGGCAGGCTGGGTCTGAGGACCTGGAAGGGGTCCCACAGGACCAGCCATGAGGGTCCCTGACTGCACACAGGATAGAAATTAAACTGGAGCCAGCAGGAGGTGAAGGCAGAGTTTCCTGAAGGCAGAGAGTGCCGGGACAGTGTCTGGGGGACTCAGCAAGGGAAGGAGGGAGGCTCGTCCTTGCTCGGGGCCCGGGGGTTTTTACTGATGATTGTGGTCTGGTGTAGGTCACTTCTTAGGCATCCGGGAACAGGTCAGAGCAAAGATGAGGATCCAGGTGTTGTTCCTTGGAGCCAGGGGGGTCTTGGCGCCAGTGGCCTGGAATACTCTCCGATGCTTTCCTCGCCATTCTGGCCTGGTCCTTCCTTAGATGTGATCAGCTCTAAAGAAATCGTTCACTGCTTGTCCCTTACAATGAGGACTTGTGCTGTTTGCATTTGGAGGCATGTGTACTGTGGAGGTGTGGGTCCTCAGCAGCAGGAAGAGGAGCAAAAAGCCGATTTCTAGGGAGTCCTGCATTTTCCCTGCCTCCTCATCGTGTGGGCAGTGGGTCATCTCATGTCATCACTGGAAGGGTGACCACAGTGCAGGGTGATATTTTGAGAGAGACAGAGACTGCATTCACAAACTTTTTATTGCAGATTATTATTACAGTTGTATTTTATTATGTTATTGTTGTTAATCTCTTAATGTGCCTAATTTCTAAATTAAACTTTACTATAGGTGTATGTGGACAGGAAAAACACAGTGTGTGTGTGTGTGTGTGTATATATATATATATATATATATATACATACATACATACAGGGTTCAGTACCATGTGCACTTTTAGGATTTCCTTGGGGGTCTTGGAACGTATCCCCTGCGGATAAGGGGGGCAAGGTAACACTACTGTCTGTCTGTCTGTCTGTATCTGTCTTTCTTGATTTATTTTAAGGAATTGACTCACATGATTGTGGACGCTTGACAGGTCCAGAATCTGAAGGGTACAGGCCAGCGGGTGGAGACCCAGGGAGGAGCTCCAGTTCCAGTCCAAAGGCAGCTGCTGGCAGAATTTCTTCTTCTCTGGGGGACCTAGTCTTTTCCTGTTCAGACCTTCAGCTGATTGGATGAGGCCCAGCCAGAGGTGGAGGGTGATCTGCTTGACTCAGAGTCTACTGAGTTGAATGTTAATCTCATCTAAAAATACCTCCTCAGAAACCACTGGAATAAAGTTTGACTAGATACCTTGGTGGCGTGGTGGTCTAGCCAAGTTGACACGTAACATCTGCCACTATCACTACCCTTTGTTCTTAACTGGGGCCTTTTGGGACATGCCACTTGGCGTTCTGTGTCTCGGTGGGTGAGCACGTCTCTTATTTGATTCACCCTGTGTACTTTTTGGCCCCAGACACAGTCATTTCTCTTCCTACTGGTCTGTGGCCATTGAGGTAAGTGTGAGGGGGAGGGAAGCCTGAGGAGGAGGCCAGCCTGCCAGCCAAGGTAGCCCCCGGCATTGTGATGTGTAAAGCACAAAACAGTGCAGGGGCCCAGTCCCTTCCAGGCCATTGGGCCTTCTGCAGAGTATGGGCGGCCTCTCCCTGGCGTAAGGGGGTATCTTGATCAGTCATTCTGCAGAGCACCTTGGGGAAGAGCAGAGGAACGGTGAGATGGCCTACTGAGTAATACTTTCATTTTGATTCTAAGCTAATGTTCACATGAAACATCTAGTAGCTGGAGGGGCCAGTGTCTTAGCAGTTGAGCAGCACAGCCAGGTTTGTGAGGGAAAAGTGGCCCTTCCTGGAGAAGCATGCTCTGGATGCGACAGCCTCTGGCCACAGTGCCCTTGATTGTCTTTAAAATGCTCTGTTGGCCAAAGGCTGGGTTTATGTTTCTGTTTGCTGGCAATTAAGACACTTCTTTGATGACTGAGGAAAAAAATCTTGTCCCTCCCGCCTCAATATTTACAAGTGTTTGGTTTGCCTTTTTTTTTTTTTCTCAAAAGAGGATAATATCTTTATTATAGAAAGGGGTTTTTCTGTCACTTCACATGTGTCCTCTGATGCCAGTAGGGAAGTGGGGTGAAAACATAATTCAAAAAGAATTACAAACATAGGGGAAAATGTTATACCTTGCTAGCAATTAAGCAAATGCAGAGTGCAAGGACAGCCGGGATTTTGCTGGGATTTAAACTGAGAACTGGAGAAAAGGTGAGCCCTAGGTTAGCGCCGTGGGGGGAGGGCTTGCTCTCCTCATGTCCTCAGCTACTTGGTACCTTCCAGGCACACAGTAGGCCTTAACTGTGGAGTGGATGATGGGGCGAGGCTGGTGCACCGGGGCGTCCTTACAGATCACCTGTGTTGACCGCCTTGTGGGAAGACAATTTGACAAGATGTCAGGAGCCTCAGAAATGTTTATCCCACTTGATTCAGCAGTTTTGCTGCTGGGAATCTACCCTGAGGGCAGAGGCTGCCTCTTGATTCCAAAGTGTCTTTATTCAGAGAAGCGGAACATGGAACTGACGTCAGCTCTTCTGTAGTTTAAACTTGAACGTCTTCATGTTTCAGATCTGGAATTAATATTGAGTGGAAAAAAGCAAAATATAAATCCTACATTGAGTTTCATTATATGATCTCTTAAAGAAAAGTATGTAGAATGAAAAGTGTAGAATGAAACTGCTAAGAAAATGGTGTCTAACACAGTTGGGTTTTTGGTGGTGTGGCTTTTGGTGTATCCCCACCCCCCCCCCCCCTGCTTTTTGGCATTTTCTAGCTTTTAAAATAAGTGTCTGACTTTTCCGATGAAAAGCAACACCCATTACTGTTTTTAAGCCAACTGTGGCACCACGTTCTGAATGGGTCTGTGCCTTAGGAATCATTTCAGTGTAGGGCATTTTAGGGGTGGTGGCCCTTGGGCCCTTTTGCTTGGGTTCTGAATCTCAGCTAAAGGGGCCTGGCTTCACCTGCGCTCTGCGCATGGTCCCATGGTCCCGGGAAGTGGCAGAATTTCCCCCTTAGAGTAGAAAATCCCATCTGCCTGGAGCCAATCTGCCTTTTCCTGAAGGGCACCCCTGAGTGTCCTCTGGGTGTCTGGGAGTCCCTTTGGTTACCAGCGCTAGATTGGAGCCCCAGGAAGGCAGCTCTGTTCTGATTCTGGAGGTACAACCAAGTTCACCCCAGAGCCCGGCCCCCATCCCTGTAGTTTGGTTCTGCTGCTGCGCCCCACCCGGTCTGTTGAGGGTCTCATTGTGGGTGTGACCTGCACGTTAAATGATGGGTTTTGCCAAATTCTGTTAGGATTATTTCCCTCTCTTGCTCAGGGCCAAATGTTGGACCCAAAGGTAGAGAGAAGGCTGAAAGGAAAATCTCTAAGTGACAGGCCTCTGAAAGCCTTGCAGGCCAGATCCGCCCCCGGGGCTAAGGATAGATGTTACTTTTTAATTTAATTTTGCTTTTCTTTAGTTTAATTATTTCCCCCTCCCCCACCCCTTTTTAAAAATTAAATTCTAGTTAGTTAACACACCTTGCACTACTGGTTTCAGGAGTAGGATTCAGGGATTCATCCCTTCTGTACAACACCCAGGGCTCCTCATAAGTGCCCTCCTTAGTACCCATCGCCCATCTAACCCGCCCCGTACCCCCCACCTCCCTAGTGGTTACTTTTTAAAGGATTGCTAACAACAACGATGATGATTGAAAAGAAGACTTAGGGTCACAAAGCCTAAAATATTTCCTGTTTGGTCCTCTACAAAAAATTCCTGTTGATCCCTGCTCTGAACCTAAAGGAAAATTGCACGTGTCATGCCACGAGGTGGGTGGCAGTCAGAGGCCCATTGTCATTGCATCTGGACGATGTGGGCTCAGATCCTTGAAGCCTCGGTCTGTCCAGGATGCTCAACTTGCACGAGTGTCATAACCTCCTGGAGCTTGTTTCCTCCCTCCCGCCCCTTCCCTCCACCATTTCCTTTCCTGTTCCCTCCTCCTCCTCCGTCTCTTCCCTCCTCCTCCTCCCCCTCCTCCTCCTCCCTTCCTCCCTCCCCCCTCCCTCCTCCCTTCCTCCCTCCCTCCTTCCTCCCTCCCGCCCTTCCTCTATTAAGCAGGCACGACTGTGGTCTGCTTTGGATTTCTTGATAACTGAGTTACAGAGTGATTCTGTGCACACACGTCCCTGTATTTAGTCACGGCTCCTACTTGCCCAGATGCAAATGCCGCAGTGGGGGGGGAAATCCTGTCTCAGATCCACTGACCTGACCCAGCCTGTGACAGAGATGGGCCAGGTTGCTTTTGTACTTCGGGGACAAGGTGACGGATATGACAGCTCCTGTGAGCCTGCTTAATGTTTAAGCTGACCCTCTTCCTTGGAAGGGACCCAGACGCGATCTGGTCTGATTCTGCCCTTTTACTAAAGAGGGTTTGAGAACCAACAGGGTAAAGGGACATTAGCCCCGGGTCACGTGGCTGCCATCACTTCAGAGCCAGGGACACTGTCCTTCCTCCTGCTTTAGGACTTTGCACATGCTGTTCCCTGGCCTGCGTTCCTCTCTTCCTTCTCTTCCGTCGGCTGACCTTGTGCTCTCACTTCCAGCTGTCACCTGTCCCCTCTCTTCTTCAAGGCAGCTTTCCGTGGCCTTCCTGACCAGCTCCGTGAATCCAAACTGGTGTTTTCCATCTCCTTGCGGGATTGTGTCATTCATGTCCTGGCCCCTCTACGACTGGAAGCTCCTTGGGGGCGGGATAAACACTGTGTACATCGTAGGGCTCAGGAGCCCTGGCTGAGGGGACGGATGCTTGAGGTCTGGATCTGGACCACACGCTCCCGCTCCCATCAGCTCCGTCATGGTCTGGTTGGTTCCCAAAAAGGAACTTGAGGGAGGCCGGCGGATGCTTGTGGTGCTCTGAACCGTCAGAGGCTCTTTGGTGTGTCACGCAGCTGTGCTCTCTCACCTCAGGCCTCTGGACGTGAACGCCCACCTCTCCCAGATGCACAGCTGGGCCCCGCTGCAGGTGCTCCATGGCGACGCCGATGTCCTCTTTCCGGTCAGCGGAGTGGGCTCGTACGGCCCCGCAGGTGGGTGTTCCCTGAGGACTCTTTCCCTCCGTTCGGGAGCCAGGGCGCGGGGCCCCGCTGCAGTGGGACTGAGCCGAGGGGCGCAGGGCCGGAGAGCCTTGTTGAGGTTGGAATGGACTGCGTTGCTTTGGCCTTTCTTCTTGCTGAAGGAGTGTTGGTGACTTGTCCCCACCTGAGCGAGTGTTGGGCCAAACCAACTGACAAGTGATGAAGGAGCCCCCAAGCCTGTGTTTTTTCCTCACCAGTGATTTTATTTTGGGGACTTGGTCATGTTATAAGTAGACCACAAATGGTGGCCATTATTTTTGCCTCTTAGGGAGAAAGTTACGGAACTCCAGCTCTAGAGGCCCCGGCACCCTTTGCGACCGGGTGCTTGGGGTCAGAGAGTAGCTTGCTTAAAATCTGCCTTTGGAGTGGATAAGCATTTCTGACCCCTTCCTTTTGGTTGAGTTCTCTTGTGTGGTTTGTTGTTATTTTCTGGAGCTAGAGCAGTGAGAAAGGGGGATATAGGATGTGGACAAGCCCGGTTCATCCAGAGGTGGGTGTACAGTGCAGCCCGTACAGTGCTTGCTGGCTGTCACGGCCCTGCAGCACCGCCGGGCTAGTGAGGCCCCAGTCTCTTCCCCTCCCCCACCCACAACTCCCCATATAGGCACCTTCTTACCCTCCCAGGGCCAGGGTTAAGAAACCGTAAAGGGGCCCACCGACTGCTCAGGAGGCTGTTGACATTCTGAACCGGATGGTAGACTGTTCTCATCACCGGCAGGGGACAGAAACCCGCTCAGAGTGGCTGAAGTGCAGGGGTGGGCTGGGGGTCAGAGAGCCCGGCCCCACGAGCCGCGGGAGCGGGTTACCTCCCTGAGCGGCGGTGCTTCCGGCGGAGACCGCGGCTCCTAGTGTGGGGCTGAGTGACTGAGCCCGCCAGGCTGGGCCCCCCTGGAAGGTGCAGCTGGCGGCCACCCTGACAGCTGACACTTACCGTGGCCTTGGGTGAGCCCAGGATGGCGGGGCAGCCAGTGTGGATGAACACGTCGCCCCTCGCCCACGGCCCATGGGGAAGGGTGGTATTTCCTCTCACCTGCCTCTCAGATGTGACGCAGGCTCCCAGGTTAACGCGGGGAGAGGCGCCAGGCACCTGCTCGGGCCCCGAGACAGCCTGCTGTCCGCACGGGCCCGAGGGCAGGGAGGCAGGGGCCGGGGCGGAGGGGGCTCCTGCGCCTCCCCCTGCTGCGCCCCACGCTTCCTCGTGGGGGCTGCCCGTCTCCGCTTTCCTGGGACTCTCTTGGCTCTCTCTGGCCCTCTTCCCTTTTGGCCTCAGCCGTGGCCTCCTTACCAGCCGGCGCTTCTCCCTGGTCTCAGCCCAAAGCCCTGAGAGGGTGGGGCCGGTGGCCCGCCGTGGCCTTCCCCTCAGGTGACCAGCCGTGGTCCCCGCGGCCAGCGGGTGGGGTTGGGCACGTGGCCGTTGTCTGCCATGCATGGTGCACGTGGGCCTTGCAGAGTGGGTGGCCCCGCGCCCATCTGGGACCACGTGGCTTCCACTCACCTTGTGCCCCCCGCCGAGGGGGCCTTTCCATTGGGCTGTCAGGTGCCCGCACCAGACACGCCGTCTTCTTCCCTGGGCCCCTTCCTCTCTGTGCTGGGGGCTGGGGACTGGCTGCTCCCGGGGCCTGCTGGGTGCCGTCCTCCGTGCTGGGTGGAGTCTTCCAGAACCCAGCGCCCCTCCTCCATCCATGGGCTTCCTTCAGTGTCTACGGGGAAGGTGGCTTGTGGCGGCCCCCAGCTCCTGAGGGAAGGCCTCCCCACTGGCAGCTTTCCCCCGTGCCACCTCTGCCTGTCCGCCTTCCAGGCCCGGAGGCCTTCCCTCGTCACCGTCGGGGGGCCCGAGCTCCCGCGTATCTCCGTTGTCCTCTTCAGACACGCTGTGCGCCCGCTGTCTGCCATGACAAAGCTGCCGGGAGCCCCGGGAGCCTCAAGGGCAGCGTGCCGGGGTGGGAGTAGCACAGGAAGACACATGGCGTCTCTGCTGGCCCGACCCCCGCTTCCCGGGCAGGCGTGCGGCTCACCTGTCAGGGAGGCCTCTCCCCGCGCGGCTCCGAGGGCACGCCGTCGGCGCTTCTGGCCCAGGCTCCGGGGCTTCTGCTCGCTCCTGACCGCTGTCCCTTCCGATGCACACCCTCCTGCTTGAGCAAGGTCCACAGATTCTCTCATTCCGGCCGGGGAGCCATTTTGTGTCCTCACTGACAGCCTCCGACACGGATGGCTCGGCCCTTGGGAGACCTTCCCATCATCTTTGAAAGCGTTGCTCTCTTTAGCGTCACTGCCCTTGGGGGCGTTTCGAGGAAGACAGACGGAGGCACGTGGTGGAGGAGGATGTGTTTTTGGTGGCTAAATCTGGGGGGGAGAAGGTGGCAGAGAAGGGGACTCTGGAGACAGAAGTATTGTCCTTCTGATTCTCGGACGAGGAGGCTCTGTGGCTTAGGGCACCCTACTTTGGAGCCGGGGTTAGAGGGTCAGAGAAGGAAGACACCAGCCAGGTGACAGGGGACCGGGATATGGGATTGGATGCAGTCATTGCTCTGGGCGTGTCTCTTACCTGTGACGCAGCAAAGCGCAGTTACCATTTCCTTGAAGCCGCGAGGGAGAAGCAGCCCAAAGTTCCTTTCACCTGAGAAGACTGAACGGAGGGGAACCAAACACCCATTTCTGCCCACTGCACACATGCCGGAAAACGTTACTGCTCCCTCCCTCCTGGGCTTGGTGTTGGGCCTTAGCAACTTCAGAGCCCGTTTCTTTCTTTCTTTTTTTCAAGTTTGTGTATTTATGTTGAGAGAGAGAGACAGAGAGAGAGCGTGCCTGCAGGTGGGGGGAGGGGCAGACATTACCAAGCAGGCTCTGGACTGTCAGTGCAGAGCCTGGTGCAGGGCTCGGAGTCACGGATTGTGAGATCAAACTTGAGCCAGAATCAAGAGTTGGATGCTTTACCGACCGAGCCCCCCGGGCGCTCCCTGACGGTCCGTTTCTGAGGGCTTGTTCGTTCATTTGAAACCGTGGATCCTGAAACTTTCATTTCCCTGATTCTTCAACTTCTCGTCCTATGTTGGGCCTTTGGGGTTGCTTGTCGAGGTTGGGGAGGCTCTGTTGTGGCGCTGCTGATCTGAGACAGGTGACCTGGGAGCTTGGCTCCCGAAAGGTCGTGTTACTGTTAGATGTCAAGGCCGTGTGGTGGCCTGGACCTGCACTATGTGTGGTCCCCACACCACTCATGAGGGTCGTGTGCCACTCAGGGCTTGTGGTTTTCTGTACACAACCAGTGGGTGGGCCTGTTCTGTACCGCACTCTGCTAGGCTCTGGGAGGATCTGAAGGTGACCCCCCCACCCCCAGAGTTTTGCATGCAAGGGAGGGGACACGGGACATCAACAGCTCTCCCTGCTTCTGCCCCCGCCCCCACCCTCACTGGAGTGATGTCCTAGAATATAAATCAGATTGCATCATTCCCCTGCTCCAAGCCCTTCTCGTGGGCTGAGGACAAAACAGGAACCGTCACTGTGGCCACCAAGGCCCCAGCTGGCCCCGGAGCCTGACCCCTCCCGGTGCCCCAGCCATAGCAGCCTGCTTCTGCCTCCCCGAACCAGCCCCTCCCCTGCCTCCTGCAGCCGGTGCGTGCGCCTCCCGTAGGTGGCAGCCCAAGTGTCCTTTCGGAGGGCTCCTCCGCCCCCGGCCCAGGTCAGCCCGGCCTCCTGTTCACACTGCCACAAACCTCGAGTGTCCCCACGCCCTGACCTCAGCTCGGAACTGTGCACCTGTGTAATTGCTTGGTGATGCCCATCCCCCTGCTCGTCCTTGAGGTCCTTAAGGGCAGGGCTGTGCCTGCCCTGGTTCTGGTGTGACCCTGACCCTGACCCTGGCCAGAGCCAGGCCCACGGTGTGGGCTGGGGAGGCGAATGCTGAGCAGTGGGTGGAATGAGTATGTGGGGGAGGGGCATGCCGAGGCAAGTGGACACCTGGTGGCTGGAAGACGATATCCAGGTGGGGACGCGGCATAGACAGAGGAGTAGGGCGGAGAGTCCAAGGACGCGTAGCCGCAACCAGCTGCTTGAGAGATCCCGAAGGGGGAAGGGCTCAGCTCTGCCTCTGGGCAGAGTGAGGTTCAGACTCTCACACGTGAGCTTGTGATCTTGGACAGGGCATTGAACTCCGCCAGGGCTGTCTCCAGGTCGGTGAAATTAAGGTCATAGTCGTGGGCCCCTCTGAGGGCGCCTTGAGGGCGAGCGAGGCAGCTGAGTCCTGCGCTTTGGTGGGAAAGCGCTGGGCTGCGCAGGCTTGGTGTATGCGAGCCTTTACTCCAGCCCTGGATTTCTGCCGCGTGTGTTGTAGTCCCCGGTTTTGCCTCAGAGAGGGGAATCGGATAGCTGGGAGTGGGGTGGACTCGCAGGGGTGAGGCAGAACTGTGGGGGCCCCTGCAGGACCCCTGGAAAGTATCGAGCCTCAGCACTAGGGCTGCAGTGGAGATGACTCAGGACAAGAGTGGGTGACAGTGAGGTAGAGCCGGCCGGTCCGGGGCCCCTGGAGCTCCATGATGGAGGGAGGGCGCCTCACCCTGAGGGGAGCCGGCCCAGTGGACAGGGTGACAGAAGGGGGTTTTGAGGCCAGGATGGGTTGGTCGGCCAGGTAGGGTTTTCAGGCAGGCAGCCAGCACCGTGGGACGAGGGCTCCTGATTGAGGTCCCAGCCAGAGTTGTGTGCTTGGAACGTGTCCTCTTTACACACCTGGGGGCCGGGGCCAAGACCCTGTTGGATTTGCCAAGGGGGACGGAGGCCTCTGAGCCGCGGTCCAGAGACACCATCACAAAGGAATCAGAGAGAAGAAGACGGTGGGAAGCGGGCGGACACTGGTGGTGGGGGCGGGAGCTGGTGGTAGGCAGGCCGGGTTGTAGGGCGATGCTTCCCCCTCAGACTTCTTTAAAAAAGTGGGAGTGAGGGGCGCCTGGGTGGCTTAGTCGGTTAAGCGTCCGACTTTCGCTTAGGTCATGATCTCGCGGTTCGTGGGTTCGAGCCCCGCGTCGGGCTCTGTGCTGACTGCCAGCTCAGAGCCTGGAGCCTGCTTCAGTCTGTGANAGGGACTACTATGAAAATTTATAGGCCAACACACTGGACAGCTTAGAAGAAATGGACAGACAAATTCCTAAACACAGACTCCGTACCAAAATTCTCACGGGAAGAGAGAGAAAATCTGAACAGACCCAAAACTAGTGAGGAAATCGAATCAGTTATCAAAAATTTTCCAACAGGGGCGCCTGGGTGGCTTAGTCGGTTAAGCGTCCGACTTTCGCTTAGGTCATGATCTCGCGGTTCGTGGGTTCGAGCCCCGCGACGGGCTCTGTGCTGACTGCCAGCTCAGAGCCTGGAGCCTGTTTCAGTCTGTGTCTCCCTCTCTCTCTGGCCCTCCCCTGCTCACGCTGTCTCTCTCTGTCTCCTAGAAATAAATAAAACATTTAATTTCGACTAAGCCACCCAGGCGCCCCTAAATAAACATTAAAAAAAAAAAACGTGGGAGCGAGTGGAATAGCTTGATGGGGACGGCAAGGTAGAAGAAAAGGTGACAGAACATTATCTCCTTAGGATTCCCTGGTGCAGCCCCTTGAAGAGCTGGGGAATCCGCAGCCCGATGAAACTCTGGCCAGAACAGGAGGAAGGGCAGGGAGGCTGGGGAGCCTGGGGCAGTGGGCTGCGCTCCCTGCTGCCCCTGCCCCTTCCCCGCATCCGGGCCTCGTTCTTCAGTGGGTGCCCACAAGCCAGAATTTCTCCACCTGGCGAGTGTTACCCCTGGGGCTGCTGGCCTAAATGTGCCCGTCCAGCCCAAGGGGCCACGGATTTGCACCTTTTTCTGAAAAGAGACTTGGAACAGCAGCAAACATATCTATGAAAATCTTTAGTGCCCCTAGGGGTGATTTGTGGCCTCACTTGTTCGGAATGCCTTTCCCACGCACCACACTGCTGGGAGGTGGCTTTTCAGAAGGCGGCAGGGCCCTGGGTTTTGATGCAGACTGTCCGTGATTGGACTGTGCCGCCCCCTTGTGTCTGTCATAAGCCACTACAGCGAGAGCAGTTGTGTCTGACAGACCGCTGATGATAATTCCCTGATCCCGAGGCTGCCTCTGAATATGGACTTCATGCATAATTCCAGGTGGCTCAAGGTCAAAAAGGTTAAGTGGGAGGATGGGCCCTCCTATTAGAGACTGGTGCCAAGTCTGAGATTCTGGCCAACAGCACGAAACGAGTAGCAGGTTAAAGTCCGGTGTGCAGGCCAGGGAACATTTGTAAATGCACTGATGTAGAGAGGAGCCAGTGTCTGACCGTGTCCTTGCCTCGTGGAGAAAATGAAATGAAAACAGATGGCTGACTTTCCCTCCGCCCCTGCTCTCTGTGCACAGATGCCCCCCTCGGAAGCCTGGAGAACGGGACGGGACCGGGGGACCACGTTCTCCCGGAGTCTGGGCCCCGGTACAGGTTAGTGTTCGGAAACAAAATCACCTTTGGGGTCGAGTTGTCCTGTTCACAGCTGTGCCTTTTATTCTTTTTTGGAGGTAGGAGTGTACCTGCCGGGATTCAAGGTCAAGGCCCAATTTTGCATTTATGTTCAAGTTTAGGATGGGAAGTTGTCAAGGGCGTCAGGGTGTGAGGAACAGTGTCTTATCAAACTTCATTTGCGTACCTCTTTTATTTTTTATCATTTTTGGGGCTGTATCGGGGTACCTCGTCCACCATCATCTCCTGATTTTTAACATTTGGTCACAATACTACACATTTTTAATATTACATAATATTTGAGCCACTTAGCTCTTACATACTTGAGGAGTGCTTAGTCCAGAATAGAGTGGTAAGCACCCTGTCGGCTTCCTGATTTTCAAATAAATGTATCTCAAAGGGACACTGAGTTGCTTGAAGTCATTGGATGTTTGGTGGCAGAGCTAAGATGGACACCGAAGTCTCCCTGATGCCACCACGATCCTTGCAGCTCTAAGAGTTGCTTCTTTTTCTCTCATCACAGTTTCAATTTGGCGCAAACTTGAGAGAGTAGGGGTGGGTCACATCTGTATTTTCAGCCTCAGCTGCAGGGTGGCAGTCGCTGGTTACTCGCACCATGCTTGGTGTTACAGTGTCTCCCTGAGGCGACGGGGCTCTCCTCTGTGACAGTGACACCACCTGTAGGCTCCTGTACAGTTAGCACTTTGTCAGGGAGGATGGGCATCCCCAGGCCCATCCAGGATGCAGAGTCCTTTTTGCTGTTCATTAAAAAAATATTTTTAATGTTCTATTTATTTTTGAGAGAAAGAGACAGAGTGTGAGTGGAGGAGGAGCAGAGAGAGGGAGACACAGAATCCGAAGCAGGCTCCAGGCTCCGAGCTGTCAGCACAGAGCCCGATGCAGTATGCGAACTCGTGAACCACAAGATCATGACCTGAGCTGAAGTCGGACGTTTAACCGACTGAGCCCCCCAGGCGCCCCTGCTGTTTGTTTTAGAAGAATACTGAGTATTGATTTTGGGGACGAATCCGCGTCAGCGAGTAAGCAGATTTGCGAGCAGCAAATCCGCAAATGATGAGGGCTGCCTGGGGTTTTGAAGGGCCGCCTCGCGTGCCTTCCCGTAGTTGTACCTGAAAGCCCTGAGTACCTGCTAGTTCTCTGAATGGTGAGGTTGTATATTTTGAGTGGCCGCGTGTAACTTCCTCTGTCTGCTTTTTCCCAGTGTGGAAGCCAGTCCTCCGGGCCAGGGAGGCCCTCTGAGCAGCCTGCTACCTTCCGCCTCAGTGCCAGAGTCGATGACCATCAGTAAGTACTTGCCGCGTGTCCTCTGCCAGTGCCGGTGACGCTCGGGCCTGCACCTCAGCGGGGTGCCGTTGCGCTTGCTCCCGCGTGGCTGCAAACTTGATGAAATGTGGGGCAAAGTCAGGTGTGTGTGTGTGTCCGTGGTCGGAGTGTACTGTGCGGTTCTAAGTTCCTGAGCTGTGGCTAATGGCGTGGCGTCTGGGCGAGCGCACGCTCTACAGGACATGCTTCAGAGCTGGAGCGGCACTGGGCTTTGAGGGGTTTGGGGGTTTGCCTCCTGTATGGTCGCCAGCCACAGAGGAACTGTGCTGACTGGGTAGCTCTGGGGGAGTCATGTTGGTAAGTAAGGAGGAGCGTGTCTCTTAAGTACGAAAGTTGCTAAAGATTGGGTTCACATGGTTTTGAACCTTAGTATTGGGAAAAAAAGTATTCAAGATATAAGAAATTAGGTTTGTGTGGCTTTATATAATAAAGAGCAAGGCAGCCGCAGCTTAAGGAGATAGAAATTCATGCCTCTTTCCAGAAGTAGGCAGGCTGGGGAGGGTATGTGGCTCCATGTTAATGAGAAACCGGGACTCCTTCCATCTTGCCTCATAGGCCAAAATGGCTGTTTTGGCTCCAGCCATCCTGGTCTCATCCCAGGTGGAGGAAGCAAAGGAGAGACTTCCTCCATTTCCATAGGTAGGATTCAACTTTTTCCTCTAGGCTCTGACTGAAATTGACATTTCCTTCCATTATGAAATACCAGCAAACCACAGAAACCATAGTCGTGGTAGCAAAGTGGATGACTTTAACGCTAATAGAAGTCACAGGCCCCTGTGAGAGCTGCAACATGAAAAAATGTCTCAGCATATTGTTTCTGCTGGAAAATAGGTTAGTTTTTTAAATGTGATATTAAAGAATTGTACGTATTTAGTAGGTCACTTTTATTCTTTACGTTTTGACAATCCTATTTCAGTATCATCCGTTTCCTTTGAAGTCTTGTGTGTTTGATTTTACGTAATTTAGAATCTTTTTCTGAGACGAGGTCCATGGGCTTCACCGGACTGCAGAGCGGGTCCATGGTACAGAAAGGGTGATGCCTGCCCCCAGCTGTAAGGCCCCTTCCTAGAAGTGCACACAGTATCGGACTGGTATGGCCTCCGTCAGTCCCATGGGCTCCCCGCGGCTGCTGGGAAGTCCCCCTCCCGCTCCTCAAATTGGATTTTCATTGCGGAGGAAGGAAGGGTGGGTCCGGGGGATGGCTGGCGCTATCCGTGGCAGGGATGAAGACGGAAAAGAGCAGGCTCTCTCAGTCTGGTTGCTGGGAATGGCCCGGCTCACTCCGTGCAGTGGAATGTGCAGTTCACCGTGGCGCTTCTCAGGCTTGGGTTCGGCCCGGTGGACATTTATCGGTGTGCACCTGTAGGCTACACGGGCTGGGGGAACACTCAAGTCGCTGGCTTTCAAATTTCAGTTATGTATTTACTGCTGTACCAGTGTTTAGCCTGTAATTTTTTTTTTAAACGGGTACACTTAGGAAAAGCTGAGCACTTTATTTAAAAAGGGAACTTTCAGGGCGCCTGGGTGGCTCAGTCGGTTAAGCGTCCGACTTCGGCTCAGGTCATGATCTCATGGTTTGTGGGTTCGAGTCCTGTGTCGGGCTCTGTGCTAACAGCTCAGAGCTTGGAGCCTGCTTCGGATTCGGTATCTCCCTCTCTCTCTGACCTTCCCCTGCTCACGCTGTCTCTCTCTCTCCTCTCTCTCAGAAATAAATAAAATATTAAAAAAAAAAAATAAAAAGGGAACTTTCCGTGATTATAGTAAACAGAGAGTTACTCTTAGTTGACTTAAATAGCAGGTAACTGAAAACAAAGACAGCGGAAAGGAACCAATGTTAAGTGGGCCTGGATGTCACTGCCTGTCCCAGCTTCTGTCCAAGACCCCCTCCCATTGTTAAAAAGAGAGGCGAGTAAGGGAGCAGCGGCAGGAGGGTGCTGGGCACATCCTAGTGTTAAACTCAGATCTTTCTTCTGGAAGTAACCAGAAGGACGGAGAAGGGACAGAAGTCTCCTCTGACTCCCTGTGACTTTGTGCCTTGTGTTTCTGTGTCTGCAGCGCTCTCTGTGTGGCTCACGCCTCACGCAGAGGGACGAGACTTCACTCTGGCCCTGAGGTGTGTCTACTCCAAAGCGTTTGCGTTTGTTTTGCAAAGAACAGCGACCCCCCAGATCTCAGACGCGAATTCCAGGCTGCATAGCGCCGTGCTGTGGGTGGTTTATTGGGGGGCGGATATCTCCGTGAACCCTAGCGGCTCTCCAGCTCTGGGCTTCCCAGGGGGTTTCCTGCTCCGCAGGATGAAGTCCTTCCACCACCGCTGAGCACGGTCTGAGCCGCTGGCCGGCCCGCGGGTCTCCCGCAGCCCATGTGCTGGAGGACGGAGCTGGCCCTGCGTGTGCACTGGCGTTGAGGCCGTCCATTCGAACACACCGGGGTTGTGCCGCCGGCTGAGATTTAGGCTGCTTTCCTTGTTTTTACTCATCTGCTTTCTAAAAATGTAAATCTAGTTGTATGATTTGGAATCTTCAGCAAGTAGGGTCCCCTCAGAATTTATAACTCAAATCTTGGAGGAGATGTGTCCGCACACCCGCATCTCGACCCTCGGTGCCCCGTGGGGGGTGAGCGTGCGCACCCCTGCGTAGGGCAGGGTGGCGGCTCTGTATGCGGAGATGATTTCACAGAGCCTTCTGGGCGCAGAGCTGGGTCGCCCGTGTGTGTCCGGATGAGCGATTAGGATTCTTGGAAATTTTGGGTGGAAGGTGGGTTTGACTCTTGCCCTCGCATCCTGCCTCTGGCACCATGTTGTCCTAGAACAACGAGAAGCGCCAGTGGCCTGAGAACAAACTTCTCTCTTGACGTTCTAGAGGCTGGGAGTCCAGTTCTGTCTGCCTGGGCCTCCCTGCTGTCTCCTCTGCTGATAAGGCCCCCAGTCCTGCTGGATTAGGACCACACCCTTCAGACCCCGTTGGACCTTAAGTACCACCGAATATAGTCCCATTGAAGGTTAGGGCTTCACATGAATTCTGGCTGGTGTGGGGGGGACCCTTTAGTCCTGGGGAGTCCCAAGAATGGTGTCCCAGGAGCTGTCCAGTTCCAGATCAAGGATTGTGTCTCAGCATGCGAAGCACATAGGATTCCGCCTGATCATGGAAAGCCTGGCCAAGGGGCCCCAGCTCTACTATGTGAAGCGGGGGGGAGAGGGGTGCCCTTACATCCTGCCAAGCAGCTTCCTGGTCGTACAGGTGGCTGTCTGGGCACTGTGATGGAGCTGGAGCTGCAGTACTTAATCCTCGGTGCTTGGGGACCACTGACTGGTCCCCCGCCAAGCAGCTGTCCCCTCTGGATGCCTCTGAAATGGCACAGATTCCATCCTGGGCTTTCTGTTGCTCAGCCCAAGAGAGGGTGCTGGGGCCCGGCCAGCGTTGCTGCCCCTTCTGCGGGCCCTTGGGCACCTGTGGGCACGCAAAGCCTGTGGGGAGGAGCTGATCATTTAGTGAGGTGGTCACTGCAGTCTGGAGCCCATGGCTTTGCCCAGGCACTCCCGTTTCTACAGCCAAGTCCGTGTGTGTGTGTGTGTGTATGTGTGTGTGTGTGTGTGTTCGGGGCGCACAGGGCTGCGTGTGTGTGTGTGTGTGTGTGTGTGTGTGTGTGTGTTCGGGGCGCACAGGGCTGCGCCCGGTGGGAATGCTGCCTGCCTCTTGCTTTGGCGGGCGATGTGCTAGCCAGAGGGCACGCTCTGAAACCAGGCTGCCCAGTTCCCTGGCGCCCCTGGGTGATCTCGAACCTCTCGGGGTCTGTCACCCAAGCACAAGGATGCCGCAGACACCCATCATTTGCAGAGAAGGGTATTTGGGCCAGAGCTGTTAAACAGCAGCTGTTATCAGGGAGCCTATTTGTATTCTTTTCTCTTAACTGTATTCCCTATGCCTTTCCCCCTCTTCGCCTCCCTGAAGAGGAGGAATGTTCTGATTTACTGGATTGTTTGGGCGGGAGGGGTGCACCAGCCAGGTAGTTTTGTTTTTTGTTTTTGCACTGGGTTTCTTCACTCATTAAAACAATTTTTTTAAATGTTTATTTTATTTTTGAGAGAGAGAGAGAGAGAGAGAGAGCAAGCGAGCAGAGGAGGGCCAGAGAGAGAGGGAGACACAGAATCTAAAGCAGGCTCTGAGCTGTCAGCACAGAGCCTGATGTGGGGCCTGAACCCATGAACTGTGAGATTGTGACCTGAGCTGAAGTCGGATGCCCAGCTGACTGAGCCACCCAGGCGTCCTGAGTTTCTTTACTCATTGTAAGGAAAGAGTGAGAAGTGCCAGGCTTGTAGTATATTATTTTTTTCTGCTTACTTGTTCCTTTGTGGTAAGTTCCTTTGTGGGTTGTGGCGTGGGCAGGCCACAGGTGAGTCCCGTATTTATGGGCTTGTTACCAGTAGCCATTTTGTGTTCTTCGTTACCGTGTTGCCAGCAGGGTGACAGCTGGTGACAGCTGCCGGCTCCCTGACACTTCACCGTCAGTATTTGTGAAGAGTTTAATACATCTGCTACTTTAAGAAAATGGGACTTTGAGGCTGGGTGGCTGTGCATTCCCTGGAGGGGCAGCCCTCTCCGTGCTTTTGTATGAATGACATTTGTACCCCCCCCCCCCCGCCTTCGGTTTCCATCCTTTGTTTTGGGGTCTCTGGTTATCCCATTGGCCGTTCTGCCTCATCTGGAGAGGAAATGGGCCCAGAGTGCTGTTCGCTGCTCATGGTGCTGGCCGTGCGGCCTGGCAAGTTGGCCAGGAGGATGGCCTGACAGCCCCCACTCCCCGTGCCAACCTTGGCCTGAATGTCAGTGAGCAGGGAGCTGAAATGCTGCCCTGAGGAGTCGCCAGCCAGACGGGAAGACGGACAGCGGCGACATTAACAGACACATGAACTTGGCTTGCAGATCTCAAGCGCTGGAAAGGGGGCTGTTTTAGGGTGTGTT